TTTAATTTGTAGATACTTATCCCGTAATTATTTGATTTTTTAAATATAAATAATTATTTTTTAATTAATTTCATTTTAATTACCTAACCCTAACCCTAATTATATATATAAATACCCCCTCTCCTGTTCACAAAAACGCAGCTGCTAGACTCCTCTTCTTCTCTCTCTCTTGTTCTCTCTCTCTCCAAGAAAACCCAGCGCCCTACCCTCTGCCTCCTCCACGACCCCAACAACAGGCCCGGAGGGCGCTAAGCGCAACAGCCTCCGTCCTACCCCTCCGCGCGAGATCCGCACAGCGTCTCTAGATGCCCGCCACCTAATGTCCTCCGTTCCTCTCGCCGGGAGCCCCCCCTGGGCCGGAGACAGTACCCCTATACCCCGCGCTTGTGCTGGTCTTTCCTCCCCACTCCGCCTGCCACCGCTAACCACCACCCAAGCTCCGCCACCTACCTCCTCGTCGGCCTCCGCTTACAAGCAGGCGCCACTACCCCACAACCCCTCAACCACCACCACCGCGAGCACCCGCCATCCCCACACAGCACACGACTTTCGCCGCTCACGGCATCATCCAGTCCGCTCCCCCCAACCGAACGCCTTCAAGCTGCGCCGACTAGGTGCGATGGAGCCCCTCATCCGAGCCGCTTGCACCTCACGCCCGCGCCCGAAACCCGCGCACGGCGTTCCCTCGGGAGCAGCGAGAGATGACAGAGAAGGCGAGGGAGGAGCCGTAAGAAGACGGAAGGGGGGCGAGTCTTCCGTCACTAAGCCCACCCGCTCGGAAACTCTGCAAACCACCCCACGTCCCACCTGCCTCTGCCCGTCAGATCCCCGCCCCAGACCGGGGATCTTTACTTGCTTGTCCCGACTCACAGTCGCCCACAAGTCATCGCCTCCTCTCTGGTCCAGCTGTTGTCCCTCAGCGCCCACGCACGTGAGGGGAGCTATGAGGCTAGACCAGTTGTACGAGGAGACTCCCGGATCCTCCACCCGCTCCATGATCTCCCCCCCAGCGACCCTCATCCAGCAACCTTCCTCCCCTCATAACGGTCAAGTGCGACATACCGCCTCTCTGCCCTCGTCCGCCCGGCTTCTTCGCTTCTGTCGCCCAAGACCCTTCTCCACAGATCGAGCACGGAAAGCAGACTCCGCCAGGTCCAGATCCGAGCCAACAGCACCTCGCTTGGACGCGCTCGTTGTCAAACTGCCCCACCGTAGGCTCGCACTTCAACGTCGCTTCGTTCGACGTACCCGAGGCAAGATCCTATTTTTTAAATTAGAATTTTATACTTATTGTCAATTAAGTGTATAGATTAGATATGATATAACGTGTATATTGTGATTATTAGTGTGGATTTATTTGATGAATAGTAATAGATAACATTTATATAATAATAATGAGATAATTTCTGCTGTAAATATATCTATGAATTAATGAACATAAAAAGACAAGTTATATGTTATAAGTGGATATTATGAGATATTATCAAAAAAAAGATATAAAATATATGTAATTCATAAACATAGAAAATGTTACTATTCATGCAGAAAAGAATTAACAAATATATATATATATATATATATATATATATATATATACATGTATATATATTTTAAAAGATTATTTTAAAATAGCTATGATGAGAAATAATTTTTAAAGAAATTTGTTTTGGAAAAGAATATTTATTTTTGAATTAACTATGATCATATAACTAATAGTCGTAGAGCGTGATATTTCATGTGCAAAACGATCACGATTTTCAGTTTCCTTTTATCCTATTATTATGTTAGAGATTACCTAATTACTGGTAGCTTGCATGAGAAGTTTGGATACCCTAGTAGTAAGATATTAATGAGATCTGTTTACATGTGTATTTATGTTATTGTAGACACTGTTCACACTTTTCGTATTATTTGTAGTTACTATTCATGTCTTATGATCTTTATTTTAATATATTCGATATGCCATGACGCTGTTGCATAGAATTAGTTTTATTATTATCTCCTTGTTGTGTTTGAGAAGCTTAGTAGTTCATGACTTAGTGCCCTCGTGCGTCATGAACAGACCTAGTGACATGTGTGGGTGTGTTGACTGAGTTTAGGTGATGAACCAGAGTTTTAATAAGGATTATAATCGTTGACTTAGAAAGAACAAGAAGAGTTGGGGTGGGAAAGTATTGGTTCGTATGATCGAATGTGATTGTTGACGTATCTTCCAGACTCGTACCAGTGAACCGTTTCGCGCTGGGGTTAGTCTATTGGGCCAGTGAATCGTTTCGCACGTGGCCAGTGAAATTGTTTCATCACCCGAGTCCTGCTTGAGTCTAGATAGGCCGGAATCAAATTGTGTGTAGTCCTCTTACCGAATCGTTTCGCAGTATTGGATGCGCGTAGAGGATCATGAACAGTCAGTTTTTCGGAAATGCGAACCTTGACCTATTTGAGATGTGGACCAATGAGTTTTTAGGATGGCTAGTATTCGACCTGGTTACTGTATGCTGATAGCTTTATGTTTATCATGATTTAGTAGTGGATTACATTTTGACTTGTTAGATTTCCAGTTGCACGTATCTTTGTCTTTCCTATTATTATTACTGTCATAGCATGAGTCGTTCGACCGTTTTTTTCTTCCATGTGGGATCTTGCCGTGTGTCATGCACGCTGACGTACACCTATTTTCTCGGGTGTGCGTCAGATTTAGGGGACGGACAGGTTCAGTATGATGATGTAGTAGACCCGGTGTATGCCTTGCCAGAGTGTCTTTCCGATGGAGTAGAAGAACAAACTGAAACTTAATTGTTTTCTTCTATAGTAGTTGATGAACATTAGAACTCTTCTAACATACTTTTCTTTAGTTGATGATGGATTTAGTATTTTTAGCAGTACTTTCTTTTATTATGGACTATGTATTTTTATATTCCTTAGTTGGACTATTTTTGTAATAAGGGTATGTTTGACCCATATTTTCATGTCTAGGATGATTTACTTTTGATGATATGTCTATTTCTTATTCTGGGTTGTTATTATATTCTTGCTATTGTGATCGAGGACCTATGACTGATATTCTTGTGTTTGACACTTAGCGTATTCGATTGAGAAGAAAAAAAAGGAAAAAAAATAGTGTATATTTTTTCTCAATCTAATACGTCGCGGGCTTGTTCACGTTCCGATTCCCGGGTATTTTGGGAAGCGGGGCGTGACAGTTTCAATTGTGTGCATGGTTTCAGCCTTGCTCTCGGCCTTGATTTCAGCTCCTAGGTTGGTTATGATGTTGGTTTCAGTTGTGTCCTTTGGTTGGGCTTTGGTTTCAGTCCTTGTTTGGCCTTTGGTTGGTCAGCTATGGTTTTACAATTTTGGTTTCAGTCCTTGATTGGCCTTCGTTTCAATTTTTAGCATGATTTTAGCCTTGCTCTCGGCCTTGGTTTCAGCTCCTAGGTTGGTTATGATGTTGGTTTCGGTTGTGTCCTTTGGTTGGCCTTTGGTTTCAGTCCTTGTTTGGCCTTTGGTTGGTCAGCTATGGTTGGCCTTTGGTTTCAGTCCTTGCTTAGCCTTTGTTTCAATTGTGTGCATGATTTATATCTCGTGAGTTCTAATTTATACCATATTAGTTCTAATTTATGCCTCGTGAGTTCTAATTTGTACCATGTTAGTCCTAATTTATGCCATGTTAGTTCTATCGCAACTCATGTTAGTTCTAATATATACCATGTGAGTTCTAATGTATGCCTCGTGAGTTCTAATTTGTACTATGTTAGTCCTAATTTATACCATATTAGTTCTATCGTAGCTCATGTTAGTTTCAATTTATGTCATGTGAGTTTTAATTTATGCCACATGAGTTCTAATTTATACCATGTTAGTTCTAATTTATACCATGCTAGTTCTATCGCGGCTCATGTTAGTTCTAATATATGTCATGTGAGTTCTAATTTATGCCTCGTTAGTTCTAATTTGTACCATGTTAGTCCTAATTTATATCATGTTATTTCTATCGCAGCTCATGTTAGTTCTAATTTATGCCATGTGAGTTCTAATTTATGCCACGTGAGTTCTAATTTGAACCATGTTAGTTGTAATTTATACCATGTTAGTTCTGCCGCATCTCATGTTAGTTATAATTTATGCCATCTGAGTTCTAATTTATGCCACATGAGTTATAATTTATACCATGTTAGTTCTAATTCTCCCTTTTAATTTCAACCCATCTTTCTTTTAATTTCAACCCATATATACTTGGTTTGCAGCACTCACTCTATGGCATCGACCCGGACAATTACGAGCTATTTTTGACATATATTAAAAAATATACCAAGCTTTATACTAATGCGTTTTACCCCATTAGCAGGATTATTGTGACAGTTCTTTGTTGGCCTTGTTGCAGAACTTTGTGAATGCGTTTTACCCCCATCAGTTGTATGCTTGCTAAGTGTGTTTCCAGCCAATGAAAGTGAAGGAAACACAAAAAAGTGAAGAAAAATAGATTTCGGAAAATGAAGGAACAAACTAAACACAAGAAAAATAAATATATTATTTTTCCATCATATTTTACATGCTAACCAAATCAAAATAATCTATTTCTTGAAAAAATTTGGAAAACTCAAAATTTAAGTTCTTTATGGAATTGCATTTCCGTACATCTAGGTAACGACAAACATGCCCTTAAATCCTTAATATTTTTAAGGACAAATTTTCAAAACCACCCACTTTTGAAATTTATTTATAAAAAACGACTCATTTCAACCTTAATTTCAAAATCCGACCTAGTAGGTTGAAACTGGGTCGGTTTTTGAAAAAAAAAATTTTAAACTTCACGGGAGTTCAACTCCCGTGAAGTTTTGTTATGAGAAAAAACTTCACGGGAGTTTAACTCCCGTGAAGTTTGGAATTTTTTTTTCAATAACAAACCCAGTTTCATCCAACTAGTTCTGTGTTTGAAATTAAGATTGAAAGGGGTCTTTTTTTGGGAATAAATTTCAAAACCGGATGGTTTTGAAAATTTGTCCATATTTTTAAAGCCGAAAACAAAGCGAAAGGAAAGGAATGGGGGAGGAGGAGCAGGAGGAGGATCATGGGTCGGGGCATGGCGGATGTGGGCCCACCTCATCTCTGTGGGCCCACCTTCCTCTTCTGCTGAGATCGAGCTCAAAGGAGTCGGTGGAGTACATACTGCAGGCTCTGTGGAGGACCCGAAAGACGGGCCTCGACTCCGCCGACCGCGCCATCGTCCGCGACGTCCTCGGCCTCCCCTCCGATTCCGATTCCGACTCCGATCTCGACCCCGTAAGCTTTTTAAACCCTCATTTATTTATTTATTTATTTGTAATTTTCATTTTTTCCAATCTTAACCCCTCACTCATCGCACTGGGGATATGCTCTTTAAACCTAAACCCCCGTGGTCATTCGTGATGGAGGAGGGGAAGGGGAGCGGAATTTTCACCTCTAACCACCCTCCTGTCGATAGGATTTGATCACCCCAAGTTGGGGTGTGATGGAGGTGAAAGGTGGTAAACCCATCATGAAATGAATCCAACGGCTAAAATCCAAACATATGAGAAATAAAATCCCCTCCATGCCCTAAACAAACTCCCAAACATGGTGTAGATATGGTGGTTGGCTACTGTATGAGACACTTTTTTTTCCCCAATAAGTAGTCTGGATGGGAGGTGAAGAAACAGTCGGTTCAGTCAGTTTTGACAAATTTTGATAAAACCAAACCAAGCCGTTCTAACTTTGTAATCGAACCATCTGACCGAAATTGGTTAGACTGGTTTGTTTGGTCTGTTCGGTTTTGGAATTGGACTCAGTTGAATAAAAAAAAAAGGCTATGTTGACCCAAGAGGGCGATATCCATCCAGAAATTGGTGAGGAAAAAAAATGTGGATTCAGGAATCAATAAAAGAATGATGCAAATTTAATAAAATAATAAACAATTTAAGGGAAGAAGAGAATGAAAATTGTGGATTAACGAACGAAATTGTATTGTTTAGACGATTGATAGAGGAGTCAGTTCGGTTTTTCCATGTCAAAATTTTCTCAAACCAAACTGACTGAAACATATTAGGTCAGTTCAATCAGTTTAATCAGTTTACGCTTGGGCTCCCCAATTAAGCATTGAGGGCACCTAAGGTTGCGTGGGTTGTGTAAGCAGGCCACACCATTTCAAAAAACGAGCATGCAACCAGCTTAAGTATAGAATCAGGTGAGGAGAATAAATTAGGTAAACAATTATCGAGTCAAATCCTGATATTCGAGTCCAATTAGATAAACACTATGGCTAGGGTTTCGAACTTTGGAAAACGAAACTTTTCCTCTATTATTGTTTGCTTAGCCTCTCTCTTTGCTGCCGGAGTGATCTCTTTGCCACTAGAGTGATTGTCCCAGTCCCAAACACTGTCCGAACCTTCTTCAACTACTGCAACACTTGCAAGAAGTTTTCTCTTTAATATACTAGTATTCTCGGTGCACACAATGCATACCTGATACAGGGTATATTTGTGCATAGTAAAGTAATGTTCGAGTTTCGATAGAATGTGCTCAAGACAAAAACAAAAAGGGTTAAATATCATAAAAAATAAACATAGAAAAGATGAAGAACTTAAAAATTTTAAGTATTCTAGTGCACACGATGCGAGCATTTCACGATACACTTGTGCATCAAAACTATGAGTTGAATTAGTTTCTAATTGATATCAGATTCTTCAAAATAATTGTAATGGAGAAAATGATAAATAAGACCATACTAAGTAATTCTACATGAAAAACATGAATTAATGACATTAAATAGCAATGAGATATGTACCAGAAATGAAGATGGTTGCAAGAAAATGGACCCTTATCACTGATGTTCCACCCTCACATAGTCACATTCACCATGACTTTCTCTATCAGCGTCACTACAATGGAGGAAATGACAAATGGGTAAATAAATCCACTCAAAAGAAAAAGAGGAATAAATAGCAAGTTATTTGTACACTGAAGAGATGAAACAAATAATTCTTCAAGGAGTTGCCAATTTTTAAACCTGTAGTTGGTTACTTTTTGAACGTGGGGATGTAGTGGGGTTGTTGAAGAGATCTGGTAGTTTTTTCTTGGAAATTTCCAAATTGCCCTCTAACTAAGTTTCAATCGATATATAAGATTTGAGGGCATGATTGAGTTTTTGAAAATGAAGCTCACAGGACCAAAGTCCGACTTCTCTTAAACATAGTAATAGATTATATTATAGTTTTATTTATAATATTGCAAAGTTATTCTCATTCATGATCCTCTTCCTTTTCTCTTTCTTTTTCCTTCCTTTCTTCCTCTATCTCCTCTTCTCTCTTCTTCTCCTTCCCCTCGCACCATGGAAAAAGCAGCTATTCAAAAACAATAGTGAAAAATATGCCTAGGTGCCAGTTAGTAACCGACTTTGGCGTTGAATGTTGAGCACACCCAGCAACTGTCCAAAACTTTCAAAATCATGGTATGTAGTGTGTTATGAGCTATTTGATTTTTATTTTTTATTTTGGTAAATGGACTCTTTCAATATTGAGTGAAGCGTTGAGAAATGATATGCTAGACCTGTAGTGAGTTATTACTTTGGCAAATTTCTCTGTGATTCCTTGTTCAAGAAGCACATGTAAATCATTACCATTGCAAAATAAATTGGTGAATGAATTTTTGGGGCCAAGATATATTTTAGCTTCTTGAACTCTGTTACGGAGCTAAAAGTTCAGGCTGAAATTTAGTGAGACTGAAAGAGCCTGTCATGGAGAACTATTGCACATGGTCATAAATTGAGTTAAAACTAAGATAAGAATGGCTAAAAGTATATGAGCTAGGGGAGAACTAGTGTAGCCCAAGGCCAGTAAACTCAAATGTGTGGGCTTTAGTCACAGAAGAAAATGGGAGACCCACATTTCATAGTCTCAGAAACCATTTGAGGAATAGTTACAAAGTCAGTCCTATGTAAAGCGTGAATACGAAGGAGGGGTTCCCTCAACAACAGACCAAGCCGATCAAATTTATTTCAAGCTTTTATTTTCATGTATTTTGCTGTTTTGCTTTGGAGAATCGGAGTAGGTAGAGGTAAGATAGCCTTTTTTACTTTTTATTTATTGATTTTTACTCAATTCAGCTTCGTAGGAGTTATCTCATTGGATAGGTTAAATATTGTTTAGAGAAGGACAATAGTTGTAGCGTTAGGTAGTTGATGAATATCGTTAGTTGAAAACTGTATAAGGAGAACCCACTTCTTTTATTGTGCTTGTGTCTGAGCCAAATGAGTTTGATAGGGTGTACAGCAGTACTTCTCTTTATATTATTTTATCGTTCCTGTGGAAGTTTAGAAATTTTTCTGACACCTAAAGAGCAGCAGCTCATATAGAATGGTTGCCTTCAGAACAGGAAAGAGCATGGGAGCAAACAGTTTTGGCAATCGTGACTATTTTACATGTTCTGGAGCCTTTCATTTGAGCTAAATGTTCATTTTCATAGTGGATATAGCAATGACTGCTCTCGGATTTTTGTTGCACCATAGCATTGTGTACTAAGAGCTGTGCAGATGTTTACTGCATGGGAGATTAGACCGACTTGTGAGTAGATAACAGTACATTCTCTTGAGTTTTGCATGATTGACAAAAATCTACCCTAAGTTTTAAGAGTGACAGTTTGACCTTTCCATTTCCAATATCTATGAATTAATTTGAATGAGAAAACTATGACCATAAAAATACTGCACTCCCATATAACCACATATATTAAAACTATATTGAAACTTAACAATTGCATATAAAAAATTAATGATTATTTGACTAGAAATTGAAAATTGATGGGGGTAAATTGTCAATTTTAGGGAAGATTAAGAATAGAAAGGTTGGGGGCATAAATATTGGAATGGAGCGCTTAAAAGAGGAGAAAGGCAAAGGGTAAGGCAATGACTTTCCATCTTAACAGAAGATTAAAAATATACAAGTGAGAAGTTGGTGGTTGCATACTGTAGTTAGATTCACAGACAGATAATAGTTGGACACTCTGTTCTATAACATAGTCTTACTTCTTGTGCCCTTTGAGGGAAATATGATTGGAGCAAAACGCTGTTACTGCAGTCTACAGTCTATAACATCTAGCAGTCAGTTCTTTTTTTCATCTTAAGCTTGAATGTCTACATGCTGGTAGGTAACCTAACTGTCAGTTCTCTAGCTACATGGTGATTATTTGCGAAGAAATGAAACTTCTGTGTAGTTTGAAATTTCTTGCTTGTAGTATAATTAATTTGTTCCTTGACTTTGACAATTATTTTTGGCATGCAGCTTTTGGTTTGCCTTCGAATGCTAATCCGTAGGTGTGTTTATGAGAAAGTTGCAAAAGATGACATTCACAAGTTGTTTCCTCAAGAGGTTTTGCCTGAATTACAAAGATTGCTTACACTCCTTCTTCAGAAGTTTCAGCGGGAATGGCAGGAAGATGTACTGAAAGACAAGGTTTTGCTTTAATTATCTTTGGGTTAAAGTTTAAAATTGTTTTCTTTTGGCAGTTCCTTCAGATTACCTTTTACCTCTACAATAAAGAGCTTTATACAGATATAATAGAAGGAAGAACATGGCTAGCTCATGAAGCATTTTTTTAATCTTTTTCTTTTTACTCTTCTGCCTCCATTTTGACAATTTCTTTGAGAGATTTGCTTATGTTCTTGTAACTTCTTCATTATTTCGAAACATTAACAAGGATAACTCAACATCTTGCCATTTTTAACAAATACTTTGTTAAACAATGAGCGAACATACAGATAAGGAGCTCAAATTCTCTTTTGAAATTGCAGGTTTCTTTACCTCATTTAAAAGCAATGACGTGGGACATGGGTGACAACAATACAGATTCCACTGATCGTGTTGCTGTTATTAATTTGAAGGTATCATTAAACAGTTAATTGGCATGCATCTGCACACACAAGTAATTATTATAGCTTATATTGGAATCTACTAGAAAACCGAATAGTTGCTTTATTTCTCTCTCCTCTCTCATATTATGCAACTTGACCAAAATTTTTTTGCTGTTGAATGTTGTTAACAAGTCTAACGGTCCTATAGACCTCCCTCTCCCTCCCTTGCACAGGAACACGCTAACTCAAACATTGTAACTTGTCTTCCTTCCAAAAT